GTCTGAAAGAAGATCTGAGCATGCATTATTTATTTTGTCCAACAGATGGCAGCATTGCACTCCGGTGGGCTTTAGTTGATGAAAGAATTTTGTGCTGGATGTGTGGGTATTTATGATTTAGCTTGGGCATTTACTTCACATGTATTTAAGGTTGTACAACAACAGGAACATTAATAACAATGATGTAAGCATGTATGACATTATGGTAACAATCTCATATGTTATTTTGATGCAGCATCGATGGTGCCCTGACAGAAGTGCAAAATAGCACCCACAGAGCCAATAATTCAAACATTAATCCATTTAAATGTTTGTTTTTTTTATTATTATTATTATAAACCTGGTAAAATTACATACACACATACTTACATTCACACACTCAGCATGGAGGTTGAGACTCTTTTCCTGGGCATGCTTGTCTAAATTGGCATCATGCCCATGTGTTGAACATGCCCATCAAACAAGTTCCACTCCACCGATCTGGCACATGCATGCTCGTCACGTTCAGTGGCACCCACACAACACAGAGCTCGCTAGTGAGCGAATTCATTTCCCTGTCCGTTATTCCACAGATGTTTGCTTTAATTTCTTCCTGATTGAGATACTTCGGTACTCCATCAATCACACGCAGGCAAAAAACGATAAAAGAAAACACGGGCAAAGTGAAAAATGTCCAAATCTGAATATTCAGTGGGGAGGCAGAGAAACCCACACGAGTAACAATATTGACAGAGCCATGTTGAGCCATTTAGAGAGGAGGCAGTCAGACTTTTAATACACTCTCGTGAAAACAAAACAACTAAAATGTGCTTCTTTTATTTTGCCACCTCTCATTCAGCCACGCTGCTGCTCCTGATTCCAGAAAAGTGTTAAACGTGTTTCACCAGTTACATGTTAATCAGTGTTAGACTGATTGCTGCATTGTTAAAATAGCTAACACTAAGCACTGGGAGACTGAGAATGTGTAGACAACAGTAAAATGGTTAAAACTTTGTTGGATATGAGCAGGTGTGTGCATTCTGTATGTGACTGTGCCCAAACTGTGAGCCACAAACAACAGCCATTAAAGGAGGGGATTATCACATGGTAATTGCTTCATGTAAAGCACCTCCGACAAGGCTTTAAGAGCAATTATGAGCAATTATATTACTTGTTATTATTGGAGGGAGGTAATAACATCTTTAGCGTGCAACTGCACACAGCCCATGGCTCAGAGATGTAGGAAACAATGCTATAATGATGAATAATGCCCTCACAAATGCATGCACTTTTGTGTGAGCTGAGCTGTGTCTGTGGATTCAGGAGTTTGGGGTTCTGTCAGGATACTGTAACATCATCAGCATGTACCTTCAGATCCAAGCATTGATATTCAGTGTAGACACCTAGCACTGTGTGATGACAAACCCTTTAAAGGGCTTTTTATCCCCCAATTCCAGCCTTATCTCCCATCTTTACATCGCTAAGCTTTGAGGTGATCACGCGGCAATCCTGGAAGCTTATATTCTACCTCTATTTTCATCTGAGAACTTAGGCTTGCAGCTCAGTAGGGATACATCATGTTAAAAACCATACGAAGAGTAAGCAGGGTACCACCTGTCCACCTTTATGTGTGGCTTTTGTGATATTACTGTGGCAACTGAAAGGATAAAGAGCACTTCCTTGGTGTAATTGGTTTTCGTAGCAGGAAAGTATGCATATTTTAAACTGTTGTATTCTAGTGACATGACGCTGACAAACAGTCCATAGGAAAAAATTATAATTTAATGCAACAAATAATGATAGTTCAATATTTTTAAATGGTACAAAAAGCTGTATATACAGTGCAATTACACAAAAATACAGCAGTTGTGGTGATGCATAAAAGTATGTTTTCTGTATTTCTGTAAAAATATCAACTAATATGTTATCTGATGTTTACACAAGACTATCAAGTTATATAAAGGAGACAAATGTAAAAGGGACTTTTTGAAATTGCCCTCTGCCAAATTTTTAAAAAAAAAAATAATTTCACCACAAGGGGGCGGCATTTCGCGAGTTGGGGTATTGTTTCCGAAGACAAGCTTCCTTTTTTAAATATTTCTTTTTCAGCCTAATCCCAATTTCATCAACACGCTTTACCTTTTACTGGGTAACTACTGCAAATAAGAGTGTTTTCTTGGATAACCTGTTTGGTTCAATAAATGCCACTTTTATCCATTACACCACCTTCTGATAAAAAATAAGGTATTGCATTGAATAGGGAAAATGTTTAGAAATGTTGTTTGAAGGTTTTAGACTTCTTTGAAATACGAGATTTCAAGCAAATGAGGCATTAATATGACACTTGCATGGACCTTGAGTAGAAACTTTGAGATGTTTTAGGTTTTATTTGTGCTGAATTACAGAAAAACTTCACAAGGTTTCACAAACTTTCACACACTGCTGTAAAAACAGAACGGTTCATGTGTGTTTATAAAAACTTTCTCAGGAAGTGAAACAGACAAAATATCCCATTCATCCCTTATTGTTTTCCTTAAGCTTCTTTGAAGATTGAAAATTAACCTAGTTTGACAATCTCTGTATAGGCGGACCTGGAAAAAGTTATTCAAACCACTCATTTCTAGTTCTTGTCTTTTCAAACAGCAAAGTCAGAGTGTGCCTTAAATCCTGCCAAATATGCAGTGAGGATGCAAAGAGTGACAAAGGTCCCAAAAATGTGTTTGTACATGCTCACTTAAGACAGGGTGTCCAGTGTGGGGAGGACCAGAGCACACATTCACATTGTAATAAGTGTAACATTCATAGTAATCCATTAACTCCTAGGTTTGCATTTATTTCTCACAGTTCTGCCTGGTTTATCAACAGCTACTGCAGCAGCTGACCTTTGACCTCCCTCCAAGTTTCACTGCAACTGCACTTCTCGGTCACTTTTTCTAGGAGTACCTATTATGTTTATTACTGATGTAACATCCGCTTGTGTGTGAGTGTCTGTGTGTGTGTACTGTGTGTCATTCTTATGTGGATCAGAAGCAGACAGAAGAGACACAGATTGCTTTTCACAGCCAGCGTACTGCGCTTCTTGCTGCCTATCTGCCAAACCCATCATCTGTGGCAAAAGATCCACTGCCTTGTGTCACTCCATCTCGCTGTCACCTTGGCAACCGCTGCCGAGGTGAACTGCCAGCTGGGGTAGTCGACCTCCATTGGCTGCGTTCCATCGAGCTGCAGTCCACAGCCCTGCAACAGGATGTTTGTGGCTGGACTGATATGCAGAAAATCACACGTAAATGTAGAAACCAGGCTTATGTGATCGGTTCAGCAGGTATTCGCAGGATCAGCATCTCTTTAACAAAATGATGTGGCAGATTTTTGGGGGGTTTTATGCCTAATGTAAGAATTAATTAAATAACAACAGAATAATTAAGCTGCTATGGTGCAATGTGTGGTTATTTTTTCACTATCAGTCCATCAGCTAAATAATTTCTTAGTGAACCAATTAAGCCACTTTTCTATAGATTGTCATAAACAGGGAAAAATGGCAGAAGTTTGCACAGATGATTTACCAAACAGACATGAAAACAATGATAACGAGACGCCTGAGAAAAATGGACTGACTATGTAAAATTTTTTTTGCCTTTATGACTTCTTTGTATCTCTTATGTGATATATTGTATATTATATCAAATTCAAATGACTCTGATGAAGAGATTCTGTGTGTTTATATATATGCATGTCTCTCTTTGTGCGTGTGTGTGTCCACATGGCCCTTAAGAATAACGCTCCGGTATCTAACACAAGGTTTATGTCAAATTTATTAAATAATTGGTCTATTCCATGAAAATAAACACAGTGGCAAAAAATAAATAAATAGTCCATATCACCACAATACACAGCAAACTTGTACATAACCTTAAGAGACCGTTTGCTAAATGGAAAAGGATTAAAGGAAAATACAAATATTGGAATAACTGTAAATCGCTTGTTGAAACCTTAAACTGTGCCACAAAAAAATAAAAAAAAAATGTAAAAAATCCACCGACACACAACACAAAGTGAGAAACAGGTTTGAATGAAGAGAAATTATTGCTCATTAGAAACAACTCAACACTGGATAAAGCGGTGTGTTTGATTAAAAACGTAGGTTATAGTTCAGTCTAGCATGTGGGACATCAGTTTCTGCAGCATCACAAGGGAACTATTATTTTTACAGTACAAAGATATGGAAATAACTTGTTTCTGCTCGAATATCTCCGGTTTTGGTGACCAAACATTTCCTTTAAATAACTTTCAGTTGTCTTTTGTTCAGATTTAATTTAGACCGAAATATAATTTTTTGTCCCAGAGGCTGTTTCAGGGAGCAGAAAAATGCCAAATAACGATGCATAAAGGGCGGTTGTGATGTGTCCAGTCCTGATATGAACATTGGATAACAATTCTACTTTTTGGATCAATGGTGGCGAATAAAAAGTTAATCAAAGGTTTCATTGAGACCCATGTTTATAAAACAGAGGCTGTTGTTCGTGTTTCATCCCTGTTATTTTGGGGCTCTTTCACGTATCGCTGAACAACCTCTTGCACTCTATGGAGGGAGACGGTGTGTCAGGTCCAATGCTACCCACTTGTGAATATGCGTCCTCTGGAGTGCGCGGAAGTCCCGGCGGCGTCATGCGCTTCTCTTTCTGCCTGCGGTTGCAGAACCAGACCCTGACCACCTCTTTCTCCAGCTGCAGAGTGTCCGCCAAAGAGTTGATCTCCTGTGCGGAAGGTTTGGGACACTTGAGGAAGTGGCTCTCCAGTGCGCCTTTTACGCTCACCTCGATGGAAGTGCGCTTTTTCCTCTTCCTGCCCTGGGTGGCGATCTTATCGATGCTGGTCGGGCTCCCAGTGGTGGAATCAGCCTCTTCCAGCCATTTGTTCAGCAGAGGTTTCAGCTTGCACATGTTCTTAAAGCTCAGCTGAAGCGCCTCAAATCTGCAGATTGTGGTCTGTGAGAACACGTTGCCGTACAGAGTGCCCAGAGCTAAGCCCACGTCTGCCTGGGTGAAACCAAGCTTGATCCGTCGCTGTTTGAACTGTTTGGCGAAATGCTCCAAGTCATCGGACGTAGGGGTGTCCTCGTCTGAATGCGATTCGTGGCCCAGACCGTGTTGCTGGTGATGGTGCGTGTGATGATTATGATGGTGTTGGTGGTGATGATGGCTGCCGTGGTCCAGCCGAGGTGATTCTCCGCGCACCAGCCCCGAGTGCATGAGGCTTTGCCCGGTGTGTGAGCTCAGCATCCCGTTGACTGTAAATCCTCCTGGCTGGGAGTAAATGAGGGATTGTTGCTGCTGCTGCTCCCCCTCAGTGATGCTGATGTGCGCAGCGGAGGTGCCTCCCCAACTTCCCGTGTGCGCCTGGTGAGGTCCTAGATGCGGAGACCTGTGGTGAAGGGCTGAACCCGAGTGGAGGTCGTCCCTGCCGGCGTTTCTCTTTACATCCTGTGGCTGGGAACTCGGGGGCCACGGAGACCCGGTCTCCGCTACTGCCGCTGCAGCGGCGGCCGCTGCGGCTGCTGCATGAGGCAACGATGTCACCCACTGGTGTGCATGGCTTAGCATGTGCCCCCCGTTGCTTGCTACCATGGCTCCGTGCATGAAGTCGCTCTGCACCATCTTCACTGAAGGGTCCCCTCTGTATCCACTAGACACCGTGGTCACAGCGGTGCCGCCCGACTGCATACCACCACCCCTCCGGTCAGAGTGAAGGACCGGGCTGGATAAAATCCTGCTGCTGGCTAGGTATGGGCTTGAAGTGGCAGTTGCCATCCCCCAAATCATATATCTTTTATTTCTCTTTTCTTGTGTTTGAGAAAAAAATTAAAATAGTCTTAGCTCTAATCCATAAATAAATTATGTCTATTTCACTCTAAACGAGTTTTCTTTTCTTTTTCTTTTTGCCCAATTAGTGGGGGGGAAGTGCCAAATCACTCCATTGAGACGTACATTATATTTTCAGTTAAGCAGCGTGCGCTTGCTGTAACCAGTGTGGCAGAACATGCTCTCTTACGTATTCCTGTGCGGCAAAACGATAGTTTCACAACTTTTCACTGTCCCGGGAGCTCCGGCGTGCGTAATCCACAGACTTAATGGTCGCCTATGGGAAAAAAAAAACAGCCTTCTTTGCTCCGTGAAAACTTGATATACAGTCTGCTTGCCTATTCACATCTCTGATATAAACGCTTCGGGTTAGACTAAATGACTAAAAAAAAACCTTTAAAGCATCTGCTGTCCTCTCGGTTGTTTAGTTCACTGCATCTGCTCTACCCGGTGCGTCCTCTACAGAGCGAAGGAGACGAGCGTGTGTTTACGTTGTGCCAAGCCTGCGTATTCCTCTCCATTTCCATCCAATTACAACAGAAAGGCTCTCCAGAGCTCCCGCTGATTGGACGCACAGGCAGAGAGAAGTTGGTGTGTCTCACAGTTGAGCCTCGGGTGCACAGAGTTCTTGCTGAGGGAGAAAAAAAGCATCAATTTACTACAAAATTACAATCAAGCCGAAAAAAATAGACCGAACATGGTTTGACTGCGCGTTGAAGTATGGCCTGTGAAGCATGTGAAGAAAAACAGGCAAGTTGGGAAGTCATCCAACAAAACAAACCTCTTCCTAGAACTAACAAAATAAAAGCGAAAATAATTATGCTTAACGCTATTATTATTATTATTATTATTATTATTATTATTATTATTATTATTATTGTACATATTTAAGCACCTCTGAGTCACTTAAGTTGACAAAATAATATCCGTCACGTTTATCTCCGAGTATCACACAGAGCAGTCGAGGCTTGAATCAAGGATACTCAAGTCGGCTTTGGGAACACAGGGGGGTTTGGACGCCACTTGCATCTTAATGCGTTCTCCCTTTCACATGGTAAAGGGAAGGCCACAGTGGCGTGACGCTCCACACTGGCGAGCGCTAAAGCTGCACAAAACCTGCCAGCAGTTCCAAAACGAACACAAAAAAACAATCCGGTTTCAGTGGGACGTTTCCATGCCGAGTCGGTTTATGGATGGGCTGTTAAATGAAGGTGTCGTTGGGGATTTTCTACCACGGGCTTCCTTCTTCGCATTTACGGGCCTTGAGAGAGAAAGCCATCCACTGAGACACATGGTGGTTTGTGACTGGTGGAAAGAGCCAGGTGCGGGCCAGTGAACCTTCGGCTAATTTGTGTTTTTCAGCAGATTTATCTTGGATTTTGTCCAAAAGGTAAACGACAAGTATTCACAGGACCCCATTCCCAAAGCAGCAACATAAACTGAGTTACAATATTTAAATTCGCCTTATGTTCAGCAGTCATGTGCCAAACTTTTCTGATTTCAGGATATACTAAATCGTTAAAAAAAAAAATCAAGCATAGCAGTATAAAAAGGATAATAAAAACTTTATCAGCTAAAGTAAATATGATTAGGCTGTTGTGCACAGAAGTTCTGAAAGGAGAATTAAAACAAGGCAGAGCACTTTCTGCTTATCATAAACTGACTGAGTGATGCACATATAGGATCATTCTATAAACATTTGAGAAAAATGTAATTATTTTGTTAAATTGTGCATCATTTCACAAAATTAGCACCAAAACTGGTAAAACGGTGTAGGTGGGCAACAAGCCTTTAAGACTCCAGCAACCTCCTATTTAGGGGCAGAGAAAGCACAATAACACACTTATTCAGGCAATAACTTTCAATATCAGAGTAATTTTCTTAACAAAGTATTTTCAAGACCATAAATAATCAGATGTATTTGAATGCCAGATTGAGCAGTTTTTCTCTTAAACCTGTGTGTTTTTGTTGATATATTAATAAAGTAGCTAGTTTGAATCACAGCATTCAAGAGTAATCAGAGTACAGTTTTGTAATTATCTATTTATTCGGGGGGTTAGGTAAGAACTGTTAATAGTTGCAAAATAACCTGTTTGATCTTCATAGATGTTTCCTTGCAGCCCGGTTTGCACTTTTCAAGTTGCTAAACTTTAAAACGAGCAAACACTAGAAAATGCAAATGTAAGAATGAGTCCTGGCCTAATAATCCAAGTTGTTAATGTTTACTTTTTTGATAGATAATAGAGGTGAAAGTGTTTTTCTGGCCTTTCCGAATAACTTAAGAGATACTTAAAAAATAAAGCCAAAAATTGTGCAAATCCCTGATACCCAAAATGTTTTGCCCAGTTGGACTTTTTTCCAAGCTTTATTTCCATCACATGTTTGCAGCTTTTGTACTTTCAGGAATTTGTAATAAAGATAAAACGATAAACAATAAAAGATTCAGAAAAAAGCAGTGAGAGTACCAAACAAAAACACAGTCTTACACTTAATTATAAGGTGCTTCTTCACTCAGAGCTTTTAAAATCACTTTATTGTTGTCTCGTATTTGGTAAAACAGGAAAACAAGAGAAGCCGTACAAGAGCACCACACTGCTTCACGTGTTTTGAGCCCACCAGCATAATGTAGAGAAAACCAGACGACTCAGGCAAGGCAGTAATGTTTTTCATGTGTTGTGCTGCCTGGTCACAGCACTGGGTCCTCTATTTGTTATTCATGAAGGAAGCTGGGTGAAGAGGCCTTCTTATGATGCACATTTTTTCTCTCTGTTCCCTCTCCCTCCCTCCCTCGCTCCCTCCCTCTCCATGGAGCTGTTTGACAAGTAGGAAAATAATCTGTTTTAGTTGCAGCAAACACCGCAATTAATCCAGCATAATGAGCGTGACACCGTCAGCTAATTGACATTATTGTTTCTTTAAGATCATCCTCAAATCACAAAGACGGAGATTTTCTCTCTCTTCCTCCCATTTTCTCTCTCTCTCTCTCCCCTCTCCTGCTCCTCGCCCTCTGTTGAGTCTTCAATATGCAGATCGGCCATTTCTGTCCCCGGGCTATTTTCTTTGGTAGACTTTTGAAATATGCTAATGCTTCCAACAAAAATTGCGAAAGAAAGAGAAAAGGAAAAGCCTTCATCTGGGCTCCAGGAGTTTTCCACTCAAAGAAACAGATGATTTTCTCTCATTCATACTCTTTGTTTTTGTTTTGTTTGCTTTATCACTTAAGTGTCTGTCTAATTAAGACAAAAAAGAAAAAGAAGCCATGCAGACAAAAGGAAAACTCATTTCCAAGGATAGGATGCTGTTGCCACATTTATTGAACTTAATCTTTTCTGCAGAGACTATAGCAAGATTCTCCTGTTCATGTGCTTTGGCTGTTTTCAGATGATACCCAGCACTTGAAGTTTATTTTTAATAATTTGTTGTACACGTGCGCGGCTTGTTGAAACTACAAGAGCAGGCAGACCGTTGTTTTTTTCTGCTGTGAGACCTACTGTGGTATTTACAGATGGAACTGTGCTGAACACTGCTGCTGCTGCTGCTGTGTGAGAGAGAGACAGAACTTATCTTCCATGTACTCTTTTTCATTCCACCTCTTCAGTGTCTTCAGTGGTTCTGATCATGAGTGTGTTTGACCTTCAGCTCTCCCTGAGTCAGAGGGATCCTTCACAGCATGAGACTCTACCCACAACCCCCCGCTGTGTGTTTAAATCAGAAGCAGAAGCAGCCACGGAAAGCGAGAGAAGGGAAGAAGTAGAGACAAAGTAGTGTAGTCGGGGAAGGATCTAGAGGGGAAATGATCAAAGTGCATTCATCTGCAAAGTCCTCATTCGCAGAGACGTGCAAATATGAGGATAAACACGGCCAATGATGCTCAAATTTAAAAGCAGATGTGTCTAAGTTTTGGGCACATGTCTTAATGTGCTGTGGTGTGATGTTTTAAACAAACGTGATTCACCGGGGGATGAGAAGTTTGCTGGGACAGCTGTCTATTTCCTTACTGCATTTGATGTGGTGGAATTACAGCAGAGAGAAGCTAGAAGGCAAGAAAAGAAGGAGAGCAGTCGTGTTTACAGCACTGGAACTATTGTCAATTACAAACCCCTGCTGAGGCTTAAATGATGACACCCAATGGACAGATGTACTGGTTAAACACTGTTATGGGCTGGGCCATTATGCATGAATGGGGGGAAGTTAATGTGTGAAAATTACATTCATTAATCCCAGCAGATAATTTGAAAGGGGCCAAAGTGACAAGGAAGAGCAGAGAGAATAGAGCAGGGAAATAGTACAAAGACATCAGTCAGTCCTCTTTAATGGGAGTGTGTGTGTGCACCGAGGTGCTTGCAGGTGTGCGCAGAGGTGGGCATTTACCTCTTTCTAAATGTCTTAATGCATTAACATAATGGTGAAAGGTGTTCTTGGAATGACATCACAGAAGTCAATGATTAGTGCTTGCGCTAAACCAAATGTGGGGAAAACAGCAACATCTGTGCTGTCACTAAAGAAAAATGGAGGAAATTGAGAAAGCATGAGACTTTTGGGGTTTAGGATACTCTGATAAAGGCACAGCCTATAGGGAAAATGTGGTGTTTATATTGCTGCAAAAAAGAAAGAAAAGAAAAAAGTAAAAACGTGTAAACTGGGTTAGATAAAAGGAAGCTTTAAAGTTTTTAATTTCCTTTTAGCTTTTAGTAAGGCTCATAAGCCCACATGGAAATTTAAAGAATCACAGCGTTGCTGCCTTTGTGGTTATTTTTGTGTCTTCCAACACATGCATCTCGTTTTTAGCCGTGTTCTGTCTCTTCAGATACAACTGCAAAAATGTATGACAGAGAAATTTAGTCAGGAAATACCTGCGACTCTGCAGCCTGTGGCTACAGACAACTGTAGCCCTGTACCCAGGCCGAGCAGCGAGCCAAGTCAAACAGCCGGTGTCCCTGAAGGCCCAGCCTGGTCGAGTCTGGCCCGGCCTCCGCCTTTCATGAATGGACAGATTTCTCTCTGAAGCTCCCACCATGATCCACGTGATTATAAAGGCTCTCTGTAGTTAAGATGATTTCTCAGGTGGGTTTAGGGGAAAAGAAGTGGCTTTAAATACCGAGCGGCGGCCGGATGGTTTGTGGCATTTTTGATTCACAGTTCTGCACTCTGCTAGTTCATGGATCAGCGGGTTTAGTAGTTAAACAGGTAGTTAAATCCAATTATGAATGATTGAGGCATCAATTAACTAAAAATAAAGATTGTGATTATTCCACTAACTGAGAAAGTAGCAGATTTATAACAACAATTATCTGGAACAGTATCACCTAAGAACACTGTTGAACATGCCTGTGTTTTAGTGAATTCATCAGCACTAAGTGGTGGCGTGCAGATCAGCTGAGACATCAATCAAGACACCTTACACGGGAACGTAATTAAATAAATGTAATGAATACCTCGAAACCCAGCGGGTTAATGATGTCACGC